GCTGCTGCTTTTAAATCACAATGAGCAGCTGTATCAGCAAAGATAAAAGACAGAGGCTGGCTGGTGAGTTGTGTTATTTGAGTTCAGAACAACCAGAGTTGCAGGCAGGGTTGAAAAAGCCCTTATATCTTACCACCTGCATAAGTAGCTCTCAGACAGGCATTGATTTTTATGCTGAACGACACTTGAAATCCACTGTGCTAATAAAAATATAGGCAGAAACCAGAAGTGTGATGAAACAGAATCCAACACACTTCACTCCACTTACAGCACCTGCCTCACACGTTTCTCACAGAAGGACAGACTCCAGGTCAGTCTGAGGCACTTCACACCACTAGAAGCATTAAAGAGCCAAAATGCCCCAAATATCCTTAAAACAAGTATAATTTAGTAGGGTACACTGCTGGATTTATTTTTTTAATGTTTATTACTTCTAATCAGAACAATAAACAACTAGGTTTTATTTCCATTTCAATCTGTAGAGTTTTAAGAATGCAGGTACTGAAATATTTTTTTTTTCTACAAAAATATTTTTTCTTTCTGCTTTTTGGCCTTTCAAAGCAATATAATTACATTGGGCTTTTGTACTGGCACCTGTTAATTAATAGTTGGGACAAAATATCAAGCATTTTTGCTCCTTACAAAATTATTTTTAAAAGCAAACTAATATCTACTTGAGCAGGTAGAATATTAACATGTCCAAATTTCTTTAAGAATCACACAGTTTATTCAGTTAAAAGCAACGGGTCATTTGCTTTTAATTAATTAAAAATATTTGCTCCTCCTCCCTTTAAGACATAACTTTAGAGACATCCTTTGCAACTGAATAAACTGAAATTCTGATTCAGAAAAATCAAAAAAGAACTGGGCTTTGTTTATCTTTAAGTAAAGAACAAACAAACAAACCAAAAAGCTACCAGCTAAGCCAAACAATTAAATGCCAAGAAAAAAAAAAAAGAAAACAACAAAAAAACAACCCACAAAATCACCTTTACAGTTCCTTAATCATTTCCAGTGGGTTCTATGCATTTGAACTATGGCTCCTGACTGATATTTTCACTTAAGTATTTGACAGAGGGAAGCTGGAAAACTTGCTATGAAGAGAAAGCATCGATTTGTGGCTTTTCTGCACTAATGGCTTCCTGGGGACTAATAAAATAAGTTAGAGCCTAATAAAATGACTGAACTCTCATTCGGGATGACAATGAACCTTAGCCACCAAGGCAAGGCAGAGCCATTATTCTAAATGACAAGCCAAAAAAGGCAAAGCAGAAGCCACACACTTCCCATCAACCATTGTATTGTTATACAAGACCATCTAAATTTCTCAGTCCTAAGGAGAAATTTGGATACGGCACAGCAGTGACAGGCTGGTTTGGTGTATTCTCCCTTCTGGCTACTAACACCAGAAACAACAGAGCTAAAGTTCACAGAGAAGCTTTGGAAAAGATGCTGATAATATAGCACTACACAAGTTAAAGAGATTTAAGATCCTGTTTCTAGCTATCATGAAAGCAGTGGTACCAGGTCACATCAAATATATATATAGTCCATTTTCAAATCTTAAAAAATGAATCTTAAAAAGTAAGAACAAGCAACTCAGTAGGATAACCTCCATTGCTAGTCTGGCCACTGGGACTTCCTGAGCTAAATAAGTCTGTTTGCCATTAGAAACCAGCACTGGATCTGTTTTCCATGATTACCCAGTCTTCCCTTGAGCCCATATAAGCTTTTGGCACCCACAATATGGACCCAGCTTCTCAGGTCTGCTACACAAGAACTGAAGAACCATCCCTTGTTCCTTCTGAACTTGGGGCCCACCTGGCCTCTGGTACCTCAAACTTCTTGTACTGGGAGAGAAAGACCTTGTGCACCTCATTCATAACTGTGACTTTACAGACCTCTAGCTCTTAATCACTCTCTTTCTGGATTGCAGAGAGTCCTAGTCTACTCAATTTTTAACCATATAGGCTCTGTTCTATGTTTCTAATCATCTTTTGCTGCCTTTGGGGCACCAATATTGGACACAGTATTAATGACATGGATGAAGGATGGATTTATACAGTGGCATAAGCACATTCTCTCTTTCTCTGTGATTTTCCCAGTAGCTCCTGGTACTTGGTTTGCTTTTTTGACCACTGCTAAGCACTGAGCTGCCAATATCATGGAAGTATCCATCATTAAGAGGTCAATGTTTTGTTGGGTGATCAAATCACTTCACTTCTCCAAGAAACATTCATGAAAGAACAGACTTACAAATCTGAGGATAGAATTCTTCAGCTTTAGTTACAACCATGAGCAGTCAGATAAGAACTAGGAATTAAAATCTCTAAGAAAACCAAGAAAAAAACCAAATAACACAGAGGCCTTCCAGAAATAGGTTTTTAGGAGTAGCAAAGCATAAAATCTTCAAAACAAAGGAATTATACAAAAAACAGAGGCAGTAAATTTCTGACATTTCAAGTCTCAGGGTTCTGCACAACTCTTCAGTTACTTCATAATTTAGTAGGGTACACTGCTGGATTTATTTTTTTAATGTTTATTACTTCTAATCAGAACAATAAACAACTAGGTTTTATTTCCATTTCAATCTGTAGAGTTTTAAGAATGCAGGTACTGAAATATTTTTTTTTTCTACAAAAATATTTTTTCTTTCTGCTTTTTGGCCTTTCAAAGCAATATAATTACATTGGGCTTTTGTACTGGCACCTGTTAATTAATAGTTGGGACAAAATATCAAGCATTTTTGCTCCTTACAAAATTATTTTTAAAAGCAAACTAATATCTACTTGAGCAGGTAGAAAATTAACGTGTCCAAATTTCTTTAAGAGTCACACAGTTTATTCAGTTAAAAGCAACGGGTCATTTGCTTTTAGTCAAAATATTTGCTCCTCCTCTCTAAGACATAACTTTAGAGACATCCTTTGCAACTGAATAAACTGAAATTCTGATTCAGAAAAATCAAAAAAGAACTGGGCTTTGTTTATCTTTAAGTAAAGAACAAACAAAGAAACAAACAAAAAAGCTACCAGTGAAGCCAAACAATTAAATGCCAAGAAAAAAAAAAAGAAAACAACAAAAAAACAACCCACAAAATCACCTTTACAGTTCCTTAATCATTTCCAGTGGGTTCTATGCATTTGAACTATGGCTCCTGACTGATATTTTCACTTAAGTATTTGACAGAGGGAAGCTGGAAAACTTGCTATGAAGAGAAAGCATCGATTTGTGGCTTTTCTGCACTAATGGCTTCCTGGGGACTAATAAAATAAGTTAGAGCCTAATAAAATGACTGAACTCTCATTCGGGATGACAATGAACCTTAGCCACCAAGGCAAGGCAGAGCCATTATTCTAAATGACAAGCCAAAAAAGGCAAAGCAGAAGCCACACACTTCCCCATCAACCATTGTATTGTTATACAAGACCATCTAAATTTCTCAGTCCTAAGGAGAAATTTGGATACGGCACAGCAGTGACAGGCTGGTTTGGTGTATTCTCCCTTCTGGCTACTAATACCAGAAACAACAGAGCTAAAGTTCACAGAGAAGCTTTGGAAAAGATGCTGATAATATAGCACTACACAAGTTAAAGAGATTTAAGATCCTGTTTCTAGCTATCATGAAAGCAGTGGTACCAGGTCACATCAAATATATATATAGTCCATTTTCAAATCTTAAAAAATGAATCTTAAAAAGTAAGAACAAGCAACTCAGTAGGATAACCTCCATTGCTAGTCTGGCCACTGGGACTTCCTGAGCTAAATAAGTCTGTTTGCCATTAGAAACCAGCACTGGATCTGTTTTCCATGATTACCCAGTCTTCCCTTGAGCCCATATAAGCTTTTGGCACCCACAATATGGACCCAGCTTCTCAGGTCTGCTACACAAGAACTGAAGAACCATCCCTTGTTCCTTCTGAACTTGGGGCCCACCTGGCCTCTGGTACCTCAAACTTCTTGTACTGGGAGAGAAAGACCTTGTGCACCTCATTCATAACTGTGACTTTACAGACCTCTAGCTCTTAATCACTCTCTTTCTGGATTGCAGAGAGTCCTAGTCTACTCAATTTTTAACCATATGGGCTCTGTTCTATGTCTCTAATCATCCTTTTTGCTGCCTTTGGGGCACCAATATTGGACACAGCATTAACGATATGGACAAAAGATGGATTTATACAGTGGCATAAGCACATTCTCTGTTTCTCTGTGATTTTCCCAGTAGCTCCTGGTACTTGGTTTGCTTTTTTGACCACTGCTAAGCACTGAGCTGCCAATATCATGGAAGTATCCATCATAAGAGGCCAATGTTTTTTTGGGTGATCAAATCACTTCACTTCTCCAAGAAACATTCATGAAAGAACAGACTTACAAATCTGAGGATAGAATTCTTCAGCTTTAGTTACAACCATGAGCAGTCAGATAAGAACTAGGAATTAAAATCTCTAAGAAAACCAAGAAAAAAACCAAATAACACAGAGGCCTTCCAGAAATAGGTTTTTAGGAGTAGCAAAGCATAAAATCTTCAAAACAAAGGAATTATACAAAAAACAGAGGCAGTAAATTTCTGACATTTCAAGTCTCAGGGTTCTGCACAACTCTTCAGTTACTTCTCTATCGCATTTGCCCCCAGAACCAGTCTGTTTCTGTTACACACTCCTGATTTACCTAGACTATCAAGACTTTATTTATTTAAAACATTTCAGCAAAGAAATGATCACAGGATAAAAAGGACAAAAGCAAGCATGTATAGAACAGTTTCATCAATATTACTGAAGCAATGTTTAATGATAAATTAAATTATAACTATGGGATATTTAATAGTACTAAAAATTGCTTGTAAATAGTAAAATTATCAGCTCTGCCAAAACTTCATGCACTGAGCATATCCAAATCATTCTTTCTATGATTTTTATTATAACACGGTTTCTTGAGTCAATTTTATACCCCCTGTAGTTTCAGCAGTTTTAAAAGGAACGAATTAAAAGAAACTGGTAACTTACATGGTAAAGACATCAATAACGTCTCCTGCAGCTCTCGTCATCTCAAAGTAGGTTTGCAGAATGTTGACGGTGCCTGAAAGGGCTTCATGCCCACACCCGCAGAACAGCGCGACTCCAGCGTAGAGCAGGATGGTGGCAATCAAGGATGCGTAGGGAATCCCCCCCAGGCATTTGATGCAGCACTCAAAGCACCCTACCAGAAAACAAAACAAATAAAAAAAAGTTGTGTGTTAATGTAATATATCAAGAAAGCAAAAAGCAAGGTTTTGCGGCATTTGATGCAGCACTCAAAGCACCCTACAAGAAAAAAAAATAAAGTTATGTGTTAATGTAATATATCAAGAAATCAAAAAGCAAGGTTTTGTTCTTGAGGAATGCTTCTGAGAAACGAAGACCGGAGGCCAAAGAGAGATTAGGTCAAGTATAACAACCCATAATGTCGGAAAATTCGATGGGTTAATTCAACTTCTGAGTTTTCTCAGTTGTGACTTGACCTATGAAATGTAGACATGCCGCCTGATTAACACAAAGTGTTAAAACAGTTAATTCCTTGTATGGTTTCATATTCAGAGCAGGTTACAGTGTCAATCCCAGGTTATACCTCTATTCAAAATTCCTGGTGCTCACCTATTGGATTATTGAGGAGGATCCTCAATAACAGGAAAACCACAGAAAGATGTTTAGTTCAATTCCTTCTGTCATCATAGATGTATTCCATTTTTTCATCTGTTCAGTGATGACAACAGGATTGCTCCTACCCATAGCACCAATTCTTTGTGCATCACTCAAATACCTCACAAGGATAAATGAAGATATTAGGAGCAATATCTCTTGATTTACACAAAATCTTCTATCTTTCTTCCAGCCGTCAGAGTGTCTACACAATGCCCAGTTCCACCACAAGGACCCAGCAAGGATGCTCAGGTGTCTGGCCCTGCCTTGCCTGGTTTTTCATGTAGGTTCATGAACACAAGAGTCACCTCTGACCCTCCCAAATCCCATTGTTCCCATAAGGACCTTCACACCCCATAGGGCCCTTCCTGATGCCTTTGGGCAGGACAGAGAAGGCAGGAGGCACTGGCTGAAGGAAGGCAAATGTCCATTGACTCATGAGGCTTTATTTTCTCCTAAGCATGACCAGTTTATGCCACAAAGGATTTAGACAGAAAACAAAGTGACGTCTATAAATTTTAAATGTTTATACAGACAACAGCCAATTAAAAATTACTTACAAGATGTTCAACAGGTGTGAGCCTATATATTCTAACATACTCTAAAAGCTTTAGGCTATGCTAAATCACAGGAATGCTAGAGATTTATTAAAAAAAAAAAAAAAGAAAAAGGCACAAAAAAACCCATTCTTTACTAAAAGTAAGTACTTTTCACAAAATACATGTATCCTCTACACATAATTCCACATTTTGTTCTTTAAGTTAGTAAGTTCTTGTTTCCTTTAGCCTGGATAACCAAAGTAGTAATTTCCTCTGTCTGTTCAAACATTCATTTTCTGTATTTAATGAACAAATATCAATCTGTCATATATATATGTTTAGCAGCTATTTATAACCAAGATTATCTGAAGAGAACAGTTTAAGTCATTTTCAAATATACACACATTTTAGATAAGTATAGACCTCCATTAATATTTTGCAAATATAGGTACTACAAAAGGCAGCATTTAAACTGCTGGATAATTCCTGTAAGAAAAATATAAATGGATATACTAAACATGTACAAGACAGACTCCAAAAATTGGGGTAAATTCCAACTAGGTATGCCTGTTGTATAAAAATAGAAATAAAGATGGAGCTTGAGACTACTTTTTTAAGGATAAGTTACTATATCACAGCCAACTGTAAAATGCCAAATGTAAAAGGTACGAATTCATGTGCTCAAACTGCTGCCAACGTTTCATTAACCTGCTGCACAAGTGGCCCACCTCCTGTGTGACACTTGGGACTGTTGGACTATGGGGGTTTATATCCCAGATTTCCATCAGCAGGAAGTCTTAGGAACAGACTGGGAAAACATCTAAATGCTTTTGTAATAACTATTTCTGCACGCAGGTAAAAAGAGGACATCCAAGTTCTAGAAAAGGATCCTGCACTGGATAATCTGTTGTCTAAAAGGCATAAAAATCAGAAATCCGTATTGAAAATGCACCCATTGAACAAGGACTGCAGGGAAATACCCGGCTGCATGAAATCAGGGTTTATCACAAAATGCCCATTGCCATTTTCAGCACGGAATAACAACAGAAAAAAGCCTCAGAAAACCAGTAACACCCTCAGCGATATATGAAAAAGCCAAGAGAGGAGGGGGGGAGATGACAGGAGAGTGATAATGGGAGTGATGTATGAGGGCCTGTAAAGGCAGAGATGAAAAATAAGGTAGACCTAAATATTTACAGGGACACATGGGCTGCAGGGCCAGCGCTTCTTAATATTGCCAGAGCCTGGGGCAGGGAGGTGGCAGAGAGAAAGTTAAAGAAATGACAACACAGAACAAAAATAGCTGATAGTCCGAACGAGAATAAATTTAATTAAGGCCACACTCAGCTACAAGTGCTGCCTTGAATAGTGTGGGTGCTGTTATTCGGATGCATCTGGCTGTGTACCCATGTCCTGGGGCTGCTCCTTGCCCACCAGGTCCCCTGGGAGCTCACCACACACCAACACCCCAGAAACAGCATCAAAAATGCAGGGGCAGTAATATTAATTCAGCTTTATTATAGTGAAACGGTGCAATAGAGTAAAATCCATCCTCAAAAATCCAGGGGCAGCAACATTAATTCAGCTTTATTATAGTGAAACAGTGCAATAGAGTAAAATCCATCCTCAAAAATCCAGGGGCAGTAACTTTACTTCAACTTTATTATAGTGAAACAGTGCAATACAGTACAATCACATAAGGGAGTAAAAACAGCTCAATACAATAAAACTATAATATATATATAGCTATAATAAGGTGAAATCCAATGAAAAATTTCCTCAGAAACAAATTCCCTCTTTTTTCCCCCAATCATTTTAAAATTTGAAAAATAAATGAAACTGATTTATAGTTTGTGAAGAAAAAGTCCTTCTGTTCATCCCTCACATTAAAACCGTTCATGTTTATAAGCCTTTGAGGGAAGCTTTTAATAGTACTATATTTTACCAATTCAAGACTTTTTCACTCAGAGAAAAATTATTGGAAAAAGAAAATTCTTCCAGCCACATGAAATTTTCAAATAATCAGGTATTCTCAAGACCTTGCTCATTTATTCACCTTTTCCACAGGCCTATTCCCTTTCTCACTATTTACTTCATGAGTAACTCTGGAGTTTTCCATGTTGTCAAATCAAAATTAAAGCAAATTAGTGAATGAAGACAAAGATTTTTAAAATGGGTCCCACACATCCTTCATACACCACAGAAGTAACATTTGCTGTAGGTAACATTTGCTCTGTTTTTTTTTTTTACTCTTTAGATTGTGAAAATAGCTGTTTAATAACAGAATAGAAATGTTATTTTAAGTTGCACAACGATATTAAACCACTGGTAGAGGATGTCTTGGGCGTAACAAGGTGTGTGCACACACCTCCCTGAGACAGGCTCCAAACACCACCTTCACAGGGCAATTAAAACCTACAGCCACAGAAATAATCACCAGGAAATATAAAAAATATATTGTATGCTCCTTTGATGTTTGGTTTCATCTGCAAATACAGGTTTCAATATTTTTCAAACAGTTCACTCTGCACAATAACCCTGTGTGATGTAATTCAGCATTTGCTCTTCTTATTTTCCTTATGTTTACCAACATTTTCCCCCCAGGTAAAAATCTAGATCTGCTGGGACCATGTATTTTTACATAAAGCATAGGAAGTCATCCAAAACACTGTTCTGCTTTGTGGCTTTCAACATGAAAAACTGTACTGTTCTTCTATTTAATTTTATTATAAATCATTCCACCGAGAAAATGTAATAATGAAATACACAGAAGATGACAAGGATTTTCATTTTATATGGATAAAATAAAACCCTAAAATTCCAGTTTTCTAATATATCTCCAAGTGCAGCAGCCAAACATAAGTTGACTGTATCTGTTTATAGGATCTCTTCTCTACATGAGGAAGGTAAAAGATTTAGATCTTGATAGAAACAGAAGTTGTCCTTGTGATTTACATGCCAATTACCCACCCAAATTGCACCACAACAAACATCTCTTTGTTTGCCTGTCATTGATACATGAACTCCTTCTCCTCAGTGCAGGTCAGGACATACAACTGACAAATAAAATGCACAATCCATTTAGGAAAGAAAAAAATAAATTAAAAAAAAGACAAAAAAAGAAAATTAAAAATAAAGAAAAAGAGAAATTCAGGACCTACATCTCTTGCCACGAAGCTTAAACCAATGATACCAGAACCAGTTTCAGACTGTAATTATGCTACTGTCTTTTACATAAACTGTCATGAAAACCCTTCCACCCCAGATTTCTATGGAAAAATTAACATGGAGAAAATTAATATTAAGAAAACACATGCAGGTCAGGACATACAACTGACAAATAAAATGCACAATCCATTTAGGAAAGAAAAAAATAAATTAAAAAAAAGACAGCCAGGCTCTCACCACCCTCACAGCTAAGAAGTTCTTCCCCATTTGCTCTTTCCTCTTTTACAATGCATTTTCATCTAGAACACCTAGGATTATTAATCCCAAATAACTACATCTCCAATGCATTACTGGTTAATCAGATAATGTGAAGAAGCACCTCTGAAGATCATACAGCATTTTATCTACGTTTTTTTCTTAACTTATTTTTCTTCAAGATTTTTTCTGTCTATATTAGGAGACAGGACAGCAGAGCCCAAGTAAAACACAAGAAAACTACAGAAACTTAAAATGGAAAACAAAATAAGAAAATCTCCCCTGCTTTCCATGCCTGGTTAGGCATGCGCTTTTTAATATCTAAATTTGTAGCACTTGTCCCACAGCTTTCATGGGCAATCAACTCAAATGCAGAGCATTATGAAACATGAAGATTTACTTCTGAATTTCATTAAGCTGTCCTTAACCTCGTGAAGTCAAGCTACTGTTATGTAATATTTTAATTGATACATACACCCATCAAAACTCATAGTACTGAACAAAAAGCAATGCATTTTACTTAGACCTAGTACCAAAAAAAACGCAAATTATTCAATAT